ACCCATGCAGTCAGTTCTCGGATTCATTTCCAAACAAAATAAATATGGTATAAGCATTGCAATTTTAAAAACAGTTGAGAAGCTGTTTGGTTTCTACTGATCCATTTAGGACATATTGCACAAATACTGCTCCTGCGCTGCATGACCATTCATGAAAGCAACTGCTGTCAAGAGATACCCAAAATAAAAAAGGTCCAATAAATTGATTAAGATTCATATTGAATTTCCAATTGAACCATATTCACGTAGCTAACCTATAAAGCTAGAATGCATCTCTGAACAGGTTGTTTAGAAAACATTTATAAAAGTTAGAATGGAAAGGGGACCTTCTGGTTCAATGGTAGTGATCCTATCTCTGAACCAGAATGCTCACATTCAAGTCCTATCCTTTCTAGAGGTGTATCAAAACATCCCTGACAAATTGATTAAAAATATTGATAAAGCTTAAATGCCTTATGCACTGAGCATTAAAAAAAAAACACATTTGTGGGCCCAAACCAAAAGGGACTACAGAGAGAATTTTTAGGATCAAAAGTACTGTGTTAACTTTAACCTGCAGCAATGCAGCATTACATACTACCCAATCATGAACAGTCTAAACTACATCAAATACAAATTTTTTTCATAGACAATAAGCTGTATTTTCCAGTTATTTATAGTTTCTAACTTTTTTTTTCCAATAGCAGCATTTTCAGTGCGAGTTGAAAGGTAACAGATTAGAAACCACACTACAGGAATTGAGCACTATCTAAACAGATGACTCTATGCAGAAACACTGTATCACAGAACATACCCTATTTTGGAAAAAAATAGTTAAACCAAAGCCTATTTGATCAGACGACCAAAAGATCCTAACACCACAATGAAAAAGCAGGAAAGTATATCCAGTGTCCTAATCAATATTTATCTCTCAATCAATATAAGCAAAGCAAAATAGCTAATCATTTGGTTCATTGTTGTTGTTGGCGAGACAATGTTGCATTCAAATTGGTTCTGGTATTTTGTGGCATTACAACTGCAAGTTCACTTCAAAAGTACAAATTCTTTGCAAAATATTTTAGGACGTGTGAAAAATGTGAAAATTACTGTACATCAGTGAAAAATCTTTCTTATAATGCAGAACTATTTCCAATTCCTGAAGCAATGTTTTAGAAACTGAAGATCAGATAATTCAGTTTCCCATGGCAACCATTTATTGGATGGCATTATTTTTGCACTATCCTGCTTTAACAATAAATTTTTATTACAAACAAAAACAGTTTGACAAAAAACTAATATCTAACAGAAGCAATAAATCCACTAGGTACCACTATAGACATCAGTATAGGTTCACTAGCTGGAGAACACAAAAAATTGACAGGAAACCTCAAAATGTTCATTAAAAAAAAGTGGTTCATTCCCAACATAATATCTCTCTAATGTTTAAACAAAAAAACCTCCAGGTTTTGTTGCAAACTTTTCTTTATGTTTTAAATAGAGGCCAGTGTAATTTTACTGCTGAAAGCTAAGTCCTTGCACAGTTCCTTAATGCTGTCCAGTCCTACAAATAACTTCTTCAAAGGCACAGAGAATGAAATAATTAATTGTAAAACAAATCAAACATGGCCACTTGCGCACACATTCGGTGTCACTCAGAGCAGTATTGTCAGAAAACTTGGAGCAGCTCCTCAGAGTAGGAATCAGGATTTGATTAAGGTTGTGCAACTAAGCAGGGATTTAAAAAAAGCTGTAAAAAATTTTTACAATTAAAAGTAGCAGTTTATTTCCTCTCTAAGCTGATTATGTCTAAGAAGAATTCTTGTATTTAACGTCAATCACCTTGAAATTAAACTATGAAGTTCTTAGATTCCTATTTAGTCTTCCATATTGGAAGAGTGCCTATGCAGATACTAAATAAGGCAGAATCCAGTTAAGCACACACACATTACCAAGTACACATAAAAAGGTACTTAGCAAAGCTATCAGAAGTAATCCATGGTAATCTACCTATAAAGCAGCTAATACCCTCATAAGGAAAGAAAATTAGCTAAGAGGGGTAGGAGGAGAAGCGTACCAATGACAAGCAGTATTCATTAACAACCCCTTCCTTAGATTATTTTGCCACTAGGTTTATCCTATTGGGCAGAAACACTCACTACTACAATAAAACATGATTCCAACTTCAATCAATAATTGGAAAGGTAGGAGACAGTGAACTATGTACATTTTCCTACGACCTATGATTTCCTCTGTCTTCACATTTGTAAGGTCTTCTATGAAATGATAGAGTATTTTCAACCCATTTATCTTGTTCCACAACAGAAAACCAATTATGTGAATTCTAAACTGCCTTCTTTACGCTGCAGCTATAAAAATGGTAAGATTAAAAATGGAAATAAAAAACTATGTTACAGCAATAACACAAGCTTTCATAAAGACAGTTTACACGCAAGTTTTACACTGTATCAAACAAAAGCTTGTTCCGACTGTTCACACATGGAGCAAGAGTGTGGATCTTCCAAATACCATCTGGAAGACTGGAGGTGGAAAAAAGATTATAAATCTCTAGTGCACCAGTCAAGCAGCCAGGAGAAGATGGCAAAGACAACACTGGGATAATGCTGTGATTTTACCTCTTTCCCCAAGGAGCATGGTTGTTCACCAACATAAAGAGAAACAGCAGCAAAAGTTCTAAGAAAGTAATTTGCCTCCCAACTAAACCAATGCAGTGCTCAAAGAAGTTTGAAGAAAAGTTAAAAATCACATTTAACGTGTAAGCAGATAAAGAATAACCTCACAAAATTCTAACGTAATACTTTGGTTAAACATCTGTAATGTAGTTAGTTGCTAAAGTTTTCCAGAAAGTAGACACAGTCTAAAGAACTATCAATATTCTGCAAATGTTCAGCAGACATAAAAACAGTTTATACCTAAAGAATTGCAGCCTGGAGTAGGGCACTTCATATTGAAATTATAACTCTCATGGAAACGGCGACGTTTTGGCCTATGTGAGAGGTCACTTCCAGAATCTTTCATTGAAGCATCTTTCGCTATGCTTTCATCATGTGATGCATTTGGACTGGAAATATCAATGTCAGATTCTGAGGAGGGAGCATTTCCTGTAGGAGTACGTGGGGGAGACTCATCATGATCGACAGCTGTCTTAGTATCTGAAGTAGGGAAGAAAAGTTTAAAAAAAAAGTTAAAAGTTAATAACAGCAACTTTAATTATTCAACATATATGCCAACTATAATTTCCTGTTTGCGTCCTGGATTCGAAAAGAATTATATTTTTGAAGCATTCATGCTGTACGTATGTTGTGTTTTTTTTAAATTGCAGATGAATGTACAAATTAAATTCTTGTAAACAGAGAAGTTCAAATACTATGATTCCATTATTCAGTGCATTTTATACTTTGGATTAAAACTTGTAAGGGAAATACTAATGGAAGTAAGCAGTTTCTGCCGTTTGGAAAAAGTAACAGCAGGAGACAGAGGAACGACGGATTTTGTGACAGAAGAGATGGAATAAGAAAAATATAGCCCAAGACCTTGCATTTAAATGCACCCTTAACACATTGAAAAATACCAAGCCATTTCACTGAAACATTATAAAACGCAAAATAAGACAATGAGTCACATAAGGAGGTATTAAGACAAACGAGTAGAAGCATGGATTAAGAGACACATTTTAATAAGCAACTTGAAGCACAAAAGTAAGGTATAGAGGCAGAGAATTCAACGCATAGGGCCACTGCAACTGAAGTCATAGCCACAAATGATGGAACAACTTTGATGGAAAATGTACAACAGCAGCAGCTTTATAGTTCCAAAGTAACAAAATGAAAATTCAGAGAACCACGAACTAGAAAATTAAAGATAAAACAAAGACAAAAGTTTCAATGAAGAGCGTTTTATGGTAGAACAGCCAGTATAAAATGCACTGAAGTTCAAGAAATACTATTGACGTTTTGGAGAAGACTTCGGAGTAGCACAATCGAGAATCGGGGACTACATAAAAAATGTTTGGGAGGAAAACAAAATAATGCTACTGTTTGCAGGTGTTGATAAAACTTACGTGACATAGTAGAAAATGTCTTTGAAGAGACAGAAAGAGTAGGCTGTTATTGTTAATTTTTTTAAAAATCAAATACACATTAAGCCACATGGCCCTGAGAAGATGGGAAACTGACAGCAATGATGGCATACAATTTGAAGAAAGTTAATGAATTTGAAGTGAAACAGGGTGAATGCAATTAGGCTGCTGCATTTAAAACAAAAACGACTAGGAACAATAATGAACCTAGAGAAAACAAATGGGAATATGAAGAACAATCCACCACAGAGCCACTTAAGAAAAATAATCAATCGTAAACAGAGCTTTTTTTGGCGAGGTATTTAATCAGGTTCCGAGCATAATACAGTCAATTCTGATGATTCATCAAATATGCAAGAGATAGCATTATAATGCTCCACTAGAACTAACACATTGGCCACTGGAATGACTGACTGCCCAAATAGTCAATTATAAATTGGATCAAAACTTACAGAATGATAGGTAATTCAGAAGTTAACAGAGTTTGCATTAGACAGCACGAGCAAATTTTCAAAAAAATAAACTAAAAGATTTATGATAATGCAAGAGTAAATTCAGATATATGCATCTGAAGAATGATGGTAGGGAAGCCATGAGGACCAGAAACCTGATTGGAGTTCATACAGTGAAAATTTTAACATTCTCACAAGGACCAAACAGGTTGTGTGTGTCAAAAACAGAGCACTGCATTTTTTCTTTTACAAGGAATACTAAGATTACGATTTTGAGAGCAGCGAGCCAAAAGAGTTGCGTTTCTCAATGGGAACATGGAAAGAAGGAATCAGAAGGAGTGGAAAGTGGATAATGACAACAGTAGATCAGGGTAAGGGCTGAAGAAAATCGATAAGTCCCTTTATTTTACACTAAGGTAAAGCTACAATGGCAGTTATGATTCACTTACTTCAGATACAATTCATCTCAATGTAAAACAAAATAAAAAAAACACTTCCCACATCAAAAAACGACAATTTCTGACCATTCTCATCTACACTTCAACAGAGTCTTTTGTTGATTGGTTGCCTTGTTGCGTAGCCTTCCAAAACCTTGGCTTCGCTGCCTTTGTAGGTCTATTTTATCTTTGTTATATACAACACAAAGGGAAGAAATTCAAGATCTCTTGCCAAGTCCTCAGAGCCAGCAACAGGTCAGCACCATGGTGTGAGGCATTATTGAATTATCTAAATAATCTTAATGATTTGTATAATATTACTTGACAGAAAACAACTCAAATCTAGTTCATTAGCACTGGAATTATCTATCACCTCAGATGCTTTTTTTCAAACAATATGTAGGAATATGCAATATTTTAACATGTTTAAATTTATCCTTTTCTCCCTCAATGTTTTCTCTAGAAAATAGGCCATAGGTCTTAAATCAGACAACATTCTCCACTGGTATTAATGTGACATTTGCATTTCAAGTGACCTTGCAGTCTTTATGACATCATCAACTCACTCCTTAATAATGGACAGTTTTCTGCTAGACCAACATTTGTCACAAGGTATTTCACTCTTTACCCAGTGAATCATGAGCAATAAAATTATGCAGATAAAGCATAAGTTCCAAAACTTCAAGTATTGGCAATGCTGAATGAACCACACAGTGCTTCCAAAAAAAAATTACACACATCCACTCTAGCATAGACCTCTATGCTCTTCTTATCTCGGTATTTCATTTTCCTCGATTCTCCCAATTTTAATCTGACAATTATTTATTGAACAATTTTCTGCTAACCCCCAATGCCTTTGATCATAAGCAAAACAGTTCGATAGCATTTAATTACTTTACAGATAACCAACTGACAGTGGTTTTTATTTTTCCAGTACGTCTAAACTTTGCACTTCTGCCAGGCTACAATGTAAAATCAAGTAAACAAAATGCAAACAATTAAAAAGCCTGATTATACAAGTTGCTTAAATGTTCAGAAATAACACAATAGCACTAATGCGACACTTTTGACAAAAAAAACTTACCAGGCAGTATATGAAATTATTCAAGACAACGATTACCATAGCACTTTAGTGTACAACAAAAGCCTGCCAACAACCCCCGACCCCCTGTCCAGCAGAATAACAAACTGTTCAAACAAGCTTCGATGAAAGCACAGAAGTTTTAACATTCCCTTTCAAGTACAATGAAGCTTAGGATAAATTCTAAGTTGCCAAATGCACCAAATAGAATCTACAATTGAATTTAGCAGATTGCTCAGTTTTTTTTTCTCTGTAGAAATTACAGCACAGAAATAAGCCATTTATCCAGCATATCTTGATTATAAGTTGCAAGGCAAATTTCACAAGGAGTCTGGGCTGAGAGAAAATTTGAGTCAATAAACAGATTATCAAAGAGAACATGGAGGTAATGCGCCAGTGCACTTAATATTTTGACCAAGTATATTTACACCAAAGTGATAAATAAATTTCTTGCATGATAAATATTTCAAACCAAATGGAAAAACTATTTACCCCTCTTCGCTTTCTCACAAATCCTGTGATTATTTACTGAGCTTGAACAATGCACAACTCTCTTTACATTACACTTCACAACCCTGCCCCACAGAGCGAAATGAAGTAACAATCATAATGGAACATGCTCATTTGAATTTTAATTAGAAAATAATCAAGAAAATCAAGGAGTCCGGTCCCTCAACAGTGCTTCAGCAACGAGGTTCTTTTGTGATTGTTATGCAGATTTAGTTAGCTGCATACCCTGGTAAAATTATTAAAGTTATGATGTTTTGTAGTATGTAGCAACCATGCAAAAATATAGCAGAAAAAATAAAAAGAGATGAAGTTTAAAAAATTAAAATGAGGATTAAAAAATAAGGAGTACATTATATCAAAAGTAAATCAAAAGCACCAACACCAAACAACATAACTTCAGAAATATAGGCAGTCCTAGGTTGCAAACAGGTTCCATTCTCAAGTCCATTTGCAAGTTGATTTGTAAGCAAGTCAGAATACAATGCAAAACAATATAAAGTAGCTATCTCTAAATACAGGAAACATTTGTATGTCGGACCTTTAAAATTACACCCTGCATGAGATCACATTTGCAAGTAGAAGGATTATTAAGTTAAACATTTGCAGGTTGGCGACCCCCTGCAGAATGTGAAAATTACAGATATGCACAGTATATTATCTGTTGCAACTTTTGTTACAAAAACAGAGGAACTCTTTCTAAAGAAACTGTATACAGATACTGTTGTATGTGACAATTTAATACAGAATTTTACTTGAAGTCTCAAACACTGAATACAAATAAACATGCCATAGTCGGATGACCATCTAGCTCTAATCATACCTTTGTCTGAAAATTCAACCGCATGCTCAGTTTCTGATCCAGATGAGCGAGTCTGTCGGAGTGGGTACTTCTTAGGTGTGACTGGAGTTGTCTGCTGTTGGCTACGTGTTACCCTTCTTGTAGCATAAGCAGGTTCATCTGATGCATATGATGGTATCTGCTGTACTGGGCTAGAATCTGCATAAGGTTTGAATAGACAATGTCAGATCTGCAAAATTTTAGACAGAGACAGCGAAAATGCAACCAGAATTCACAAATTAAATTGACAATGGAAGCAATTTTACCAAAAGCAAACTATCACAGATGCTGATGATCTAAAAAGAAAGCTGGAGAAACTCAGCAGCGGTATGGCAGCATCTATGGAAAGTGTAAAATAGAGTTAACGTTTCGAGTTTTGCTGTCTTTGTGACAGTTTCAGTAATCAACTGGTAATGCACACTACATGTGAACCATAACTGATGAACATTCAGACAGTCCTACGCACTGAAGTTCATAGAAACCTAACAAACATGAGAAGTAAACTATATGGCTCTTGAGAGTCCTCTGCTGTGCTATATGACTGTGGCTGATCTACATGCTCAACTCTTTTTCCTGCTGTTTTCCATATCCCCGATTCCCTGAGAGACCAAAAACATATCTGCCTCAGCCTTGAATATACTCAACAATAGAGCATCCTCAACCCACTGGGTCAGAAAATCTGCAAGCATCGGTCACACAAGTTCTCCTCAACGCACTCTAAACAAGTGGATTCAACTGTGCTACCCCAGTTTTCATTATAAATGAGGGAGATTCAACACAAAGACATTTATTTTAGTTTGACCATTTAAAAGTAAAGGGTACAGAGTGAGAATTTGAGAAATTTAATTTGAAGTAGGAATTTAGCTGGTAAGGTTTTCTGAAGTTTAATTTTAGATTAAATGTTAGACTATAACGAAACAGAGGCCTGCTTGGTATTCATAGTTATCTGTCATATGGCTGAAAGTTCTTTGTTCTACTGGAGCTAATCATTGTAGCAGGAAACTAAGTGAAGATAGCTGGAGACTCAGAGCCTCCTTTTATGCAAGAAGGTTTTTAAAACTGCAGAATCAGAAATGGGTACTTAGTGAGACTATGCCAGCATGAGATGAGACAGTGTGATTATAAGCAATATTGTTAGGGACTGAGAGTCAGGAAATATTGAAATTCTTTTTAAAAACAACCTAGCACTGGGAAATATTTACTGTAAATAGTACAACAGTAATATAAAGGTAACCAGGGCAGCTCAGCCAAAGTGGAATATCCACACTGTGGCGAGTTGAGGACACTTCAGGGATCCAGAAAGGCGTATATGCAAGAAGTGTCACCAGCGGGACAAAGTTCAGCTATGGGTTTTGCACCTCAAGCAGCAGCTGGAGTCATTTTGGTGCATCGGCGAGGCAGAAAACTAAATGGATACCACATGGATAATGCTTTCAGAGAGTTGGTCAAACCAAAGATATAAGCACAGGGACACACAGGGCATGGGTGACCACGAAGTAGTTGAAAAAAGCCTCTCAGTTTATGCAAGAGTGCCCTTAAATAGTGCTCACTAATCAGCTTTGCATTCTGAATACTGATGAAGAAATTGGTTCCACAGGGAATGCAGAAAGAGCCAAACCCATGTCACTAGGGTGGGCTTAGACAAGACAAGATAGAAGGGAGACAAATGGGAGAGCTGCAATGATCGGGGATTTATGAGTAAAGGGAACAGACAGCTTTCTTTTTCCATTCATTCATGAATTTTGGGCTTCACTGGCTGGGCTAGCATTTATTACCTACCTCTATTTTCCTTGAGAAGGTGATGATGAGCTGCCTGTTTGAACTGCTGCAGTCTACATTGTTCTGGTATGCCTACAGTGTTTTTAAAGGAGGTAGTTTCAGGATTTTGACTGGATGCTGGCTTGATCAGCATATATTTTTGATCTCTAACTGCCCAGATGGCAGTTAGCAGTCACATTACTGTGACTCCAGAAGTATATGTAGGGCAAGAGTAATGACAGTAGCTTTCCTTCTCAAAAAGGGCAATTAGTGAACCAGTTGGGTTTTACAAGAATCAATTGTGGTTACGTGGTTGCCATTAAGCAGGGGAGCGGGGAAGAGAATGGCAGAGCTAGGGCCAGAGAGAGAAAACATTAGAACAAGGGGGAGGAAGAGAGAGACAGAGAGAGAGAGAGAGAGAGAGAGAAATAAAATGACAGAGCGAGCAAGAACACAAGAAAATAACAGACTGAGGTGGGAGAGAGATTCGGTGCGGGGGGAAGAAGAGAGAGAGAGAGACAGAGACACACACAGGACGGGGCGGGGGGGCGGTTGGAGACACACGTGGGGACGTAAGAAAGAGAGAGGGAGAGGGAGACAGAGACACACACACACAGAGAGCAGGACAGAGAGACACACGCACACAAAGGGAGAGAGACAGACAGAGATTTCTGGCACAGCCTCTGGGGAAGATGGTACCTGCGCAAGCTGGTTAGATTGGACCTGAACACAGCCAGGACTGTGCTGCTTTAGAGGTATTTTGCTAGTGCTTTGGTGAGCCTTTAAATCAACTTGGCAGGGGCATGTGAAGCAACAGAATATATTGAAACACTATGAGAGTGCACAAAATACTGTCGTAGACAGGTGTCTTTTTGTTCTCTATTCTAATGGTAATATAGCTGTAGTTGCAGAAAAGAAGAAAAAAATGGAGTCTAAATCAAGTTACTGTATTTCTTGCATTTACATGGATGTAGAGTCAATACAATTAGTGATTAAAAATGCTTATTGCCACATGGAATTTTAGAACTGTAACTATAACAGAGACCTGGCAATAGGAAAGGCATGACTGGGTGTAAAATATTCCTGGTTACATGGTGCTCAGTATAGATAGGAAAGAAAAACAAAAGATGAGGGTGGCAGTGTTGGTTAACCGAGCGCACTGTAGTATTGCAGAAAGATGTCACAGAAAGTTCAAAGATAAATTAGAATTGGCTAGAAATGGGGCAAAAAGGGTGCAACTAGATTGCTTGATGTGGTTGATGTGAGAAGGAAACTCAGTCACTCGAAGGGTTTCAAATTGATATGGTGGTGGTGTTGGATAGACTGTCGAACAGGCACCAACACCAGATGAAATGCATCCAAGGATTTTGAGGTAAGAAAGAGTGGAAGTTGCACAGCCACTGGCAATTATCTTTCGAATCTTCACTACACTCAGAGGTTAAGCCAAAGAACTGGAAAACTGCAAATTTAGCAAGCCAGTCAGTTTAATTTGAGTAATGGAGAAATGTCTCAAAACAATTATTTGATATATAATTAGGAGTCACATGGATACAAATACAGCTAATTAAGAAATATATTCTGGCTTTTCATAAGGGAAAAATTATATGTTTACTAACTTGAGGTTTTATGAAGAGGTAACACAGAGACTTGAGGACACTGCTGTACACATGGTGTACATGGACTTCCAAACATGTCTGATACAGTGCGAACATAGCAGATGAAAGTTCATGATATAAAATGGATACAAAATATTGGTGAGGAATACGAAAGAGAGTAATGGTTAACAAATATGTTTTTGGGCCAGAGGAAGATTTGTAGTGAATCCCCAGGAGTGGGTTTTTATGACATACAAATGATTTAGACACATGTGCAGGTGACAACTTCCAAGTTTAAAGATGATGAAAAAATCTCGGAAGCATGCAAACTGTGTAGAAGGATACAGGAAAACTAACAAAAGGACACTGAAAAGTTGGTGGAATGGGTAGATTGGTGACAGATGAAGTTCAATAGTGAGAAGTGCGAAGTGACAGAATTTGGTAAAAGGAAAATGGAGATACGGTATAAAATGAAGGGCACTACTCATAAACATACATCAGCCAGACTTTATGAACAGAAACAGGATACACAGCAAGGAGGTTATGCTGAACTTTTGTACAAGATAATAATTAGACCTCAGCTGGATAAGAAGGATGTGGACACATTGGAGAGAGTGCAGAAGAGATCCCGTTCCAGGGATAAGACATTTCACTTACAAAGATGGATTGGAGAATTTGTTTTCTTTGGTGGAGGATGGACAAACTAGATAGCGAGAAACTATTCAACTCAAAGAATTGAGAACAGAAGGAGAGAGATATATGGTTATTTGCAAAAGAAGCAAGTGTGGTGTCAGATAAATTTTTTTCATACAGCAAGTATTCAGAGTCACTCAGTTAGCTCAATGGCTAGCTTACAATGCAGAGTGACACAAGAAATGTAAGTTGAATTCCCAAACTGGCTGAGATCACAACAAACATCCTGCCTTCTCAACGCCATGTGTTCCTTGAGGCATGGTGACACCAAGGTTAAACTCACTGCCAGTCATCTCTCTACTGAGAGAGAGCAGCCCTACTGTCCTCTGGGACTATGGCAATTTTACTTTTAGTTAGGATCTGGAACTCAGTGCCTGGAAGAATGATGGAAACAAGTTCAAATGAGATATTTAAGGGAGCATTAGATGATCATTTAAATACAAGCAAAATTGCAGGATATACAGAAAAGGTAGGAGAATGACATGAGTCATAATACTTGCTCAGACAGATGGTACATCACGATGAGTTGAACAGCCTCCCTTCTGTGCCATAATAATCCTCTTTCTTTGCAACATAAGCTTTGCACTACGTATAAATATTGTCATCTACAATTCTAATACAAAGCTGATTTATATAAAGCCTGTGTTGCAATTTATCCTGATAGTCCATTGCAACTAAATTAAGGAACTTAAGTTATTTTCTTTCTTTCAGCATATTTTCTTTTTGTTGATTCAAGTTCTGTGGTTTAGAAACAATCACAAATACCTCAATCACCAAATGACTGTTATTCATATACCACTCTGCTCAGTGCCAACAGACTTCAGCACTGCAGTAGGCACAGTGATTGGAATGAGGCCAGCCAGCTGGACGGCTTAGAATAGGAGTTCACTGATTGGGGCTGTTAATCTGGTCCAATCAGGGAATCTTGGCCAATACACAAAAAGGAAGTTTTGGAGATACTGACACTCTGGTAGCTGACTAGCTAAGGATTGTTCACGTGTAATTAAAGGGTGACTTGGTGATGGACTGAGAAACCTCCAAATTTTTTCTGCTGACATCTGCATGAGAAGCTGGATTCAGGTCCAGGTTGCTAACTTTCTGCTGACTGATGACTGGGCTACAGAGAGCAACACTGCAAGACCCCAAAGATCAATATTTCATGAGGGAACAGTAAAGGACTGAGCTGTAAAAGACCAGGCTAGCATCACTGTTTCTCTAGTCTCATGTTGGGGAATGCAGAAGCACTAGAGTACTGACCTACATTTCTTGTCAAATATTTACATGCCCCTACACTGCATTAACACTAAGATTCTTGTTACTTTTCATTTCTTCACTATTAATGGTGTTTCATTTGGCCACTATAGCTCTCATCACCTTCCTGCTATTAAAAAAAATCCTTAAAATGTTCTATGATACCTTTCAAATCCCAAATGACTGTTTATGTTTTTAAAAATGATCTATTTATGTGGATTAAGTTAAATCCTATTCTGAAGCAGCTGTTTGTCAATAGTGTCCGGTGAGAAGGCATCTGTTTTTATAACATATCAGGGGATAACAGGGAGGCTTTTTAAAAATGTTTGCATCAAACAAATCAAGTTTTGACCTTATAGACATTAAGTGAGACACTGATTAATAAACTTCATTAATCTATATGAAGTTATGTTTTTTTATAAAACTAGGAACTCATGATTTATACCAAATTTCTTGGATTTTTGAAAAAAAGTTTTAAAAGATGATGGGATTGTTATTACTGCTGCTCAAAATATTACAACTATTTCCTCATCTGTCATCAACATAAGCAGATGCAGCACAGTTCATTAGATCATCACCTGGAACAGAAACAATGGCCAAATTTCCCTTATTAAGGGTGGTGCAGCCAATTGTGTCACCTTGCCAATAATTTAACCATCATTAGCTCAATAACACAGGGCTAAAATCAAATCTGAGGCATGGTTTAGCTGCTCATTGATTGAACAAGTCACTTCAAGAACATCGTTCCTCTGCTTCACCTTAGGAAGAATATTTTGTTGCATGAATTTTACATCACGTTTTTGACATTGTTGAAGAAACTGCCAGACTGATGCTTACAGACAAAATTTAACAGCAACAAAATCCTCCACACACAAGCAACTGTTTTTAATTATCTGTTACCTTGAGAACTCTGACTGTTTCTTAATGAAGATCTGGTTAATCTGGTAGATCTCCGTGGCTGTCCATCACTCTCAGAGCTATCTGTATGATCCAGATCAGCAGAAAAATCAGAATCTTCTGTGCCCTCGGAGCTGCTGCCTGCTTGACGCTGAAACAGAACATATGAAAGATTAACTGCCAGAAATAATTACATTTATAAAACACCCTCAATAGAATTGGCAGGATAATAGTTATTGAAAAGAATATGAAGACATTTTGCTACCTTAACTAATTGAACTATGATATGTAGACTAAGTTGAATCCTGTTATGAGCAGATGTTTGTCAATTGTCCCTCGTAGGAGGGCATCTGCTTTTACAACATATTCAGGGATAACAGGTAGGTTTTTAAGTATATTTGTATTAAACACTTTGAGTTTTGACCCATTAGACATTAAATAAGACACAAATGAGTTGTTTTTAAATTGATTTATATGCATTTATCTTATTAAAAGAAATAGAAACTTGTGATTTATACCAAATATCTTGTTTTTTTTTTAAAAAAAGAGTTTTAAAAGATGGTGGGATTGTCCCATTACTGCTTCACAGAATATCACAACTATTTCCTCATCAACATAAGCAGATCCAGCACAGTACATTAAATCATCACCTGCAAGTGAAACAATACCAGGATCACTTCATGATCCATTTATTTAATGACCTGATGCAACTAAGTACGTGCATTATTCTTTGGCAATGTTGCGAAAGACAAAATCTACTTCACGGAAATGGATGAAGTTTTCTTTGCTACTCTCTTCAAGAGGTCTGCATGAAATTAATTTAGCTACTCTTCATTCTTCATGGGAATCTACACACAGTACAAAACTTCCCAAGATTTGGCATATTTTGGTATTCTATTCAAAGAGTCTAAACCATCATGAGAAACAGAAAGGTTCACAGTAGTAAAGAAAGGAACAGCATATTGTTAGTAGTGAAAATATATTGTTGAAGTAAGGAATAAGCTTTACTGTACACTTAGCCACACCACAACTGACCCAATATCCTGAAAACTTAGTTTGGATCATCTATAACAATATTTGTTGTTTATAATGTCATCCTTCACCTGTGAAGAAGAAAAAGCATTCCTATCAGTAACTAACCCTGCTCACGTTTTTTGATCCCTCTATGGTCTTTAGCATGGTCAACCACACCATGCTGCTCACAATGCCCTTTCTCCCTGACTAGCTCAGTGGGAATGCCCTCACTTGGTTTTACTCATATCTATCCAATTGTAGCATATACAGCACTGGTTTATCTTCCCAATTTTGAATTATTACCTCGGAGGTCGCACCCCAAAGATCAACACTTGGCTGTCTCTTCTTCATTGATATGCTAACCCTTGACAACACCATCCAAAAACACTGGGTCAGCTTCCAATGAATAATGACAATATACAACTCTACCTCTCTGGTCCTCCAATATCTGTGGTGTCAGATGGCTTGTCTAGCATCCTTTCCTGATAAATCACAATTTCTTTCAATTAATCATCAAGAACTAAGCCATCTTCAAGACAAATCGTCAAATTCCACTGCCTCTGTGGCCACTGTTTGAACTGGAACAAAATTGCCTGGACCTTTGTGTGCTCTATGAATATAAAGTGAGGTTCTAATCAGTGACTTCCAATGCTGTCTCAATGCCTACCTACCACAGTCCATCTATTGCTAATCTTCATCCTTCCTTTATTTAACTCCAGGCTCAACTAGTCTAATGCTCACCTGCCAAACTCAATCCAAGGCATTACTACCATATCTTATTCTGTACCAATCACTAATCACTGGACTGTTAATCCAAAGACCTACATAACGTTCTGGTTCAAATCCCACCATGGCAGATGGTGGAATTTGAATTCAATAAATCATATCTGGAATTAAGAGTCTAATGATGACCATAAATCCATTGCCGATTGTTGGGAAAAAAACCCATCTGGTTCACTAATGTCCTTTAGGGAAGGAAACTGCCATCCTTACCTGGTCTGGCCTACATGTGACTTCAGACCCACAGTATATTTGGTTGACTCTTAACTACCCTCTGGGTAATTGGGGATGGGCAATAAATTCTGCCAGGCCAGCAACACCCTCATCCCGTGAATGAATAAAGAAAAATAACAGATCCCTAATGCTCATTATTCCTATGCTTGTCACTATTCATTATTTCAAGTTTCAACCTGCCTGAATTTAAAATTCTTAGCTTCGTAATTAAATCAGTCGTGACACTGTTGCTCCCCATATCTACATAATCAGATCGACATCTTTCCAAGATCTTTCCTCCAACTCTTCTTATGCTTCATACATTCCCTTCAACTCACTTCTCCCAAACTGCTCCTGGAATTCCCTCTTTATACCTTTTCAGTTCTTCTCATTTCCTTTGACACTATTTAAAATCCACCTCTTTTAATTGTCCTTCCTACTCTTTCTCCTCAGCTTGAAACTGGTGTTCTTCTGGTTACATTTTTAGGAAATCTTTGGGTGATTTCCAACATAAGAAATACTGCATAACCTAAGTTGCTTTAATGGTCTACAGAAGTATAAGAAATATTGTTAATACTGTAAGTTTCATGCAAATGATCCTACTTATATAACACTTGTTCCCATGTTTCTTGTTTCTGTATGGATTTTAAACTTTATAACTCCACCAAATGGGGTCATATTAATACTGTGAACAGTGCAAAATAATTGAAAATTTAATCCTGTTGGCATTGAAATTTGCCACGCTAATCACAAGTCATTTTTTCATGCATTTTCAAACAGACCAAAGTTACGATTGAAACATGAATCTATTTTCACAAATGTCTCATAGCCATATTCAAGAAGAATTTCCTATACTCCTACCACTGGGCATGACCATACCTCTTTAGAACCTAGATTAGGACTACTCAGAAGCTTTTTGTTAATAGGCCTAGTGGTAGCCATTTATTATATTGGTTACAATCAGCTTGGTAAACTTCAGTCATTATGGAGTAGAAATTCTTTACCGTGATATCAGGTAACTAAGGTGACTGAATACAGGTGACTGAGAAAAGCTCATTCTCCACCACAAAATGGCCACTTCTAGGTTTCCTCAAATCAATAGTTATAAATTACCAATTCTGGTAATATTTTGAGAGAAAAAAAATCTCAACATAACTCCCTTGCCAACAAATGCTTCAGCATAATTTCCCACTGACCAACTGACACAGATTCCATTTGCAATTGATGCATTGAGTTAGCTAACATACAGACAGCAGGAGAACATAATGATCCAACTGAAGAAAACAGCATAGAAACACAGTCAAAACTGTGGTTCCAGGTCCCAACCTGCTTTCGACAAGGATATGATCAATTGTCATCTGCTGGTAATTAACTGCTTAGAACAATAATGCACCTGGGTAAATAATGACAGATTGGCTATGGTATCATGGACCATTCAGTGCTAGCAGAACACATGAACAGCAGGAGCATCTTTCAAGAAAGAAAGGAAGGCAAGTACATGAAAACAATAAAAATTTCTCCTTTCATCAGATTCTGGGAATACTAGGAACCTTGCTAGACTCAACAGCCAAGCAATGTAGAGCAGTAACAAATAAAGTTGGAGTGCAACAGTAATGAATAAAATTGAACTCATAAGCAAAAGTGGAGTACAAGTAAGAAACAAAATGAAAATTTACCATGCACTAATCAAAGCAGACATTTATTACTGCATCACATTTCAGTGCAAAGAAACAAAGAAGACTTTCAAGGTTTGGAAACAGCAAAGGTGAGCTACAAAATTGACCATTAATGTTAGAAATACGAATTATGAGAAAGAGTGGAAAAAAAACTTTGGTTTGTGACCCAAGTAAGGTGTCCTACGGGTGAGCATAAAGCTATGGGAGTCTTAACAAAAATGCAAAAACTAAGCCCCAAATATTATTTTATTTCAATTATAGTAAAATAAAGAGGCTTTATAAAAAGTCCATTTTCAGGACTGATATTGGGAAACTACTCTTCACATATTATGACTCAAGTATGGAACAGATTTCCATCCAAAATAGCAGAAGGAAAAATCTGAAATTACTTAAAAAATTGAAAGTGACAAAAGGCAGACTTTAACATGGGACAAAGTAATACGTATCGAGTGCATTTTTTTTTGTAATTTATAAGACTATTTGATAGAGTATAACTGCTGTTCATCTACCAAGAATATGGGGTGGGGGGGGGGCGGTGCGGTGAGGAGTTTCATTCAGCTACATGAATTGGACTTCTCTTAATTTACATTATCCAATAAATACTAGGGGAAGAATAGTTGGAACATAGATATTAATTAATTTATACACAAGTGAATATTAAATGGGTTTCCGCTGGGTGCTCCAGTTTCCTCCCAAAATCCAAAAAAATGTGAAGGTCAGGTGGATTAGCCATGGGCAATGTGGGGTTATGAAGATAAGGTGTGGGGTGGGTGGATCGCTCTTCAGTGGATCAGGGTAACTCGATGGGTGGAATGGCCTATACGCATTGTAGGGATTCCAAGACTCTATGAAATAAGTGTAAGCAACTTTCTTGCACTCAAAACATCAACTCCATTTCTCTGCATTGAAGTATTTAGTACAGCACATTCAATGTTTTTTGTTTGTCTATTTCTCCCCACACAAGCCACAAAAAAGACAAGCACCTTAGGATCACCCAACAGGGAAATATGCAGCAGCAATACAATTCAAGAGATTCCAAATGAAATGAATAAAATAGCATAACAGCTGTTAAGGTAACAGAATTAGCAAAAAAAACAACACATGAATTGCCAGTTGGAGGCAAGGAATATATAGAACACACCGCAAGGTAAATCAGCAAATGGGAAAACAAAGGCAGGGGCAGAATCGTTTGGAAGAGTTTTCAATACCCATTCTGAAATAAAGTCATTTAATTTCATAAAGTTAGCCAAATAAAGTTTTCACTGTGGTTCAGTAATGTCAGAAATAATCAGTTTAAGTTTAATAATGAAGATTGATTATATATAAAAATAAATCAGAGCAGGAGTAGGTATTCAGGCCTGCACCACCATTCATTAAGATTGTGGCTGATAGAAGATATTTTCAAATCAACCTATTCAGAGATGTTCTTATGAACTTCTGATGCAGGTGAAACTTGAATCCAGGTCTCCTTGCTCAGATGTAGGGACACTACCACTTCCCCACAAGGGCCCAGATTGTGTCTGATATAATTATGACCCTAATTAAACTCTCCCCGTCTCCTGAAAATCCTTGTCATAATTTAAAGTGCACATGTTAGAAGGTAAAATTAAAGAGCATGCCATTTAAGAGAAACATGAGAAGAAACCTTTGCTCTCAGATTGTTGATTGCCCTGGAACTCTCCAGGAAGTGGAGGAGGCAAATTAATTGAATATTTTTTAAGGCACAGGTAGAAAAGATTCTTGATGGACAAGGAAGTCAAAGGTTATCGGAGGTAAGCATGAAAGTGGAGTTGAGGCCAGATCAGCCTTTATCATACACTCCTGATCCTAATCCACATGTTTGCATATATGATTGATCATCAAAAATCTAACTCAGCTTTGAATATATACAATGGCACAGCCTCCACGGCTCTCAGAGGAAAATTCTAAAGTGTAACAAACCTTAAAGAAAACCTTATTCTTAAATGGAAACCCTTTATTTTTAAACTACCCCTTGTCCTCAAATCTCCCACAAAGTGAAATGTCCTCCCAGCATCCATCTTAAGTCCCCGCAGAATTTTATGTTTCAACAAGATCACCTCTCATTCTTCTCAACTTCAATGAGCATAGAACTAAGCTGTTCAACCTTTTCTCATTCAGCTAACCCTTTAATTTGAGAAATCAGCCAGTTAAACATTCTCTGAACTGCGTCTAATGCCGTTATTATCCCCCATCATTGTTTCTGACGGTTGGGCCATGAACTTCCAATGGATCGATCACACTTATGGTTTGCAAATGCCTTCAACAGGATGGTTGACCAGGACACTCTCCAACTCTTAACCCATGCCATTAAGCATTTTGGAAGGATTGTTATTCTGTCAATCTGTTCACCCACGTTATGAATGCACCTATGACCAACAAGCCCTAGCATGGAACTTGAACCAGAAGCTTCTGGCAGGGATATTATAACAAGACATCAAACAAATCCTCTATCCTTGCTAACATGTTACTGCTGGACATCATGCGATCAAATCTTGTGCATCACCTTTGCTGTGACAATTTGCTAATTGCCACATTTACTTGTTCCCCATTATCCACACTGTTACTTCTTCATAAGCATTCTAACAAAATTGGCAAACACAACTTACCTTTCACAAAACCATGTTGGGTCTGCCTGATTGCATGATTTCCAAACATTTTGTT